AAGCTTCATACTTATCTCCAAAAACGTCCTCCTCTTCATTCCCTTTCTTTCACATCTAATCATCTCAATTATACACATCTATATTATTCATAATAAACACACAAACACGTGTATCTTGCCAACCACATGTGTGTGTATATACTACCTCCGATCTTAAATATAAGAGTTAGTTAACTAATTTGAGTAGATTAAGAAAATAAGTTAAGTCAGTCATTTGTAATAAATAGGTGTTGTTTTTCTTAAAAAATCCTCACTAACTAAGTTTATTGGCTAAAACTATCATTATTAGAAGGAATATTTTAGAAAAAAAAAAAAAGATAAATACGAGAGATAAAATGGATTGGAGTCTTATATTTAGGACCAAAATAAAAATTAAATGAGTTTTTATATTAAAGATAGGAGGTAGTATTATAGTAAGTGCCTTTAATTTGGCATATTGTTTCCACCAACCAACTGTATGTATAGCTAGATTGAGTGAAATAGATTTGGTGCTTAACCTGGTCATATATACATAATCATATTTATTACACAAATTGCAAACTGCAATAAATCACATTTTTGTGCATGCATGCGTGAACATGTACGGTGTCAACTTTGAGAAACTGTCAAAGGAATTCCTTGGTAGGACGAGTAGAAATTCAAACGATTTAACTTTCCTGATGTAGATGTAGCTTAGTTAGCTTTAAACAAGTCCTCTTGACCTGGGTAATTGAAGGAATACAAAAAATGGGAAAAAAAGAAAAAGATAATGGATAGACTTTAATCAAGGTATAACAAACTTATAGGGATGCCTTAATTGGGGGTATAATTAAAGCCTCAATCTCCGCCATTTAATTTGATCACCCTTTTCTTTCTTTCTTTCTTTCTTTCTTGCATACTGTCAAATATATGGACAGAGCTAGAATTATGAAACAAAGCCACCATTTCGATATACACAAAGCTGAAAAGCGACATATATCTGGCGAAGAAGAAGCAGCTGAAACTAACGAGAATTTAATAGTGCGACCCATGACCCCAAAAAAAAAAAAAGTGTTCAATTCGAGTATTAGGTAACAGTTAATCTTATGAGATTTTTACTTAAAAAAAAAAAAACCAACATCAGATTTCCTGAGCGATATTATAGTACATGTTGCTCCGCCTATATCGTCTATATTATATATCTCGACTTTAAGCTAAAAGATAGATAGATTTGATATGAGAGGCAAAATCCACGCCTTGTTACCAGGACACACCCTATTTCAGTTAAAGTATACTTTTGATCTTTTAATTTTATATAAAATTCATTATAGTCTTTTAACTTTAAAAAGTAAATTTTTAGTTCTTTAATTTCACCCTCGAATTGTTAACAAAAAATGATGATATTGAACTCTTGAATGTTGATAAAACGTTACTAAATGATATAATATTTAGTTTAATCTTCAAAACAATCATGATTGTTATAAAAAATCATCATTTAAGACTAATAATTTTATGATTAAATAATTAAAAGTATACTTTTTAAAGTTAAGGGACCAAACCAAATCCTTACATAAAGTTAAAGGATCAAATGTATATTTTAGTCTTGAGTTTATTAAGGGGTTGTTCCACCTAATAAGTTTATTTTTTAGGATGAGTTCTCCCCTTAAATTGTACTTGTAATATTGATGCTTTCATTGAAAAGCTAATATTTATGAACAGAGCGAGCTGTAGTAAAAGGTTTTGAATGGCAAAAAACTGAGTGAAACGAGATAAAAGAGAGTCCTTCTATAAATATAAAAGTTCATTTTTTCATACAGGTTATCACTTTGGGGTATGTTTGTGCGAAAATAAAATTATAGTTTCTTTAAGGTATATAAAATAAGTATGTAAAAAAAAATTATCTCAAGGGGTGTGAAAGCACTTTTAAAAAGTGTTTTTTTTTTAATAACCAAACGCTTCCTTACACTCGTAACTAACACCTTTCTTTTTCGTCTATTTATTTTTATAATTTGCATTTGGATGCTTATACACTGTTTTGGGGGGGAAAAATCTTCCCAGATGCATTTATTTGTCTTATTGGTCTTTTTGTTAAAAAAAAAATTCTTGTAAATCCTAAGGGGAGGAGTAATGATTCATTTTGGAAAACAAAATGAAAAAATGATTCATTTTGGAATAGTAAAAATGGAAGAAAAAAATTGCATCACGCTGACGAAACAAAATCCCTCTTAAATCAACAAGACACGAGTCATATAACAAATTAAGCAATGAGGGCCAGGCCTCTATGAAAAAGAACAAACAAACAAACAAGAAGCTCTTGCACGTGTTGGAGTATTATTTCTGGACAAAGCATGCCGATGCTGTATTTTAATGTACCGATTTTTTGTTAAAATACGCTTATTTTGAATATGAAATATAAAAACGTGATATGTCATGTTCAGGTTAAATATATATTCGTTTTACCTCACAGGCTAGGTGTATTTTATTCCACGGAAGTTAATAAATTTTTCTGTTGGCTATATATATTTTTCGTTTTCCTTTTATAAAAACAACTTTTTTGTCAATGACAAAACCGAAATATCTCTCAACCCAAACTCATCTCTAGTTGACTGTGAATATGTCCGAACATGGTGGGATATATCACACACACACACATATAATATGAGTGGTTTGCATAATTTAAATCTTAAAAAAATATAATAGTCATATTATAACAGGTAAAGCGAACTATTAAAATTTTTTCCAATATATATTATGTTATACGTAAATATAGAAAATTTACCATTTTTAATTATGATTAGTGTAACTTAAATTTTTAAGCTCTTCAACCTAGTTATAATTTTGTTTCAAATGCCCACAAAAAAAAAAAACTTTATAACATATATGAAGAAAATCATTAAATCAAAGTCATTCTGTTAATTTACTAGAATGCCCTTGACTTATTTTTCCAATTGAAGTCCGTCCATGAAAAATGTTCATCGGGATGAATAATCAATCATTAAACAGTTTCCCGAGAGAAATATCAATGAAGGGCAAAATAATAAAATCACAGTTTCCCCAGAAAACAAAAAATAACTCTTAAGGCGAATGGGAGTGGGCAATCTATAATCTATTCTCTGTCCTCTCTTTCCTCCACGCGGTTTCCCTCAGCTTCATCCTACCTAACCAATCATATTTCTCCTACACTCAACTTGGCGCCTGCGATTCTTCCTTTTTTTTTTCTGGGGCCTCTTTTTACCTTTTTTTTAATACCAGAATTTAATACTACTACCTTTTTTTGACCAGGGAATTTAATACTACTACCTGAAGCTGCAAAATAAATTATCAGAGTAATCCGTCTCTTATTATAAAATCTTTTTAATTAAATTGTGCAGTTTAAGAAAACAGTTAAAATTGGTTAAAAGCAATTAAGATATAGCAAATACATTTTTTTTCAAATATACCCCTATATATAAATGTAGAAATGTGAGAGAGTAATAGTGAGATAAATGAAGAAAGAGAATATATAAACACATTAAATTAGGGTTAAAATAAGTAATATTGTATTAAATATTTAGACAAATTCAAAGAGAATCTTATAAAAAGGAATAAACTTATTCAAAAATTAGATCTTATAATAAGGGATGGAGGGAGTATTACACTTCTACACAAACTTATATTTTATGTGATATATATATATTTTTTCTACAGGGCAAAATATACTTTCATTTAATTTTAATTTCTTAATAAAACTATTCTTAAATTTAAAGGGACTGTTTTCAGTTTTAAAAATAATTACATTTGTTTGAAAATCAACAATAAGTAGTAATTAAAGTGATCATTTATATTCCGAATATTATTTAAAGACATTTTATATCATGTGAATGCAAGTCAAGCACTCAATAGTCAATACATTTGTTAAAAAATAAAATAAAATATTTTTTTTACACTCTAAACTAGATCTAAGTTAAATTTCTTTCAACATTTTACCTTCTTTTAATATAAAATTCAACATTTTACCTAACAAAAATAGACTCAGATTTGTTTCTTTATCTGACGTATGTTTTTAAGGCATTTTTATACAATTGCAAACTCAGCCACGGGCCATAGCTTAGAAATAAAATGATTTTTTTAATATTACCTTGATATAAATAAAGTGATTATTTTATAGTAGTATTTTATATTTATGCTGTTACCACTTGCCATGGACTCAAGAACCGTTCGGCACCAAAGTTACGGATTCCCTGTCTCTGTAATACTTCGCCGGAAGATACGTGTAATGAGCTGTTTTCATACAGGGAGAAGTACAACAATGTCCAAAAAATTAATTTAATTATTTCAAAGTTAAAGAGTTAATCATGACAAATTTCAAAACAAGAAAATAATTGGGTTTGGTTATTTGTTATTAGAATTTTTTAGTAATTAATTTTTTTTATTAGGACCTCTTGGTAGTTCTCTCTTTTATATGCTAAAAAAAATTCAGTATCTATGTTGATTTTTAATGTACAGTTCTAAAATTAAATTAATTTTCTTTAAAAATATTTTTCTTATCTATGTAAATTCTTTTGATCATCAAGAATGGCTTTTTTTTTTTGGCAAAATCAATAATCACTTAATTATGAGAACTTACAATTGTACTGTAATTATCAAATTTTTGTTAAGATGCATTTAAAATTTAGAACGTGCCTAGATCATCAATATTAATAAAACTATCAATGAATGTCAAATATCACATATAATAAGAATGACTCAATTTTTGAGATTTTTTGCTTTAATATTTGAGAATAATCTTTTTTTTTTTAAAAAAAATAGACTAATAATTAGAAAACGAGCCGAGGTTCATCTTTCAGATCTGCACGGTCCAGAATTAATATATAAATTTCATAGGGAGCATCGGGGGAGAGTTGGAGATAGGACTAGGAGGATGAATGATGAACCTCATGAATATATAAATCTGTAGTTACTGCCTCTTCTCTCCGTCGATCCAGTCCCCTGTTTCTTGCTTCTAGAATCCCAGACCCAGAGCTCTTCTCCGTTTCCATTATTTTATTTCTCGTTGTGACCTCGTCTCAGTCTCGTCGGTTTGCTCATTGCTTGGTCAGCTTTTTTTCTTCCCGGCAAAATCGGTTGCTTTTCGGTCTTCCTCAAGTAACAACACATCGTCTCGCTGTAACCTTCAAACGCTTTCTGCTCAACTCCTCCAAAACAGGGCTTTCTGTTGAAAAACATAGGAAATTTTCCCTCATTTTTCTTTTTCGGTTTCTTTCCTTTCAAGTTTTTGTCTTCTTTTACTTTTATTTTTATTCCCGCACGAATCCGCGTGTGGTTCCGTGATCCTTCCGGGGGGTGCTTTGCTTGGTCCATTTTGATTTGGTCCCAAGATTCATTCAAGGGCAAAGCGTCGGCTCGTTTTTCCTGAGAGGAGCGTTCCTTAAATATTGAACAAAGCAGAGTAAGATTGAGTTTTCTTCAAGGTTTAGTAAAATAGCGAAACAGAGAGAAGGTCGTCGTCATTGTATTTGTATACATAAAATTTTGCAGGAGGCACAACATTGCCGGCAAAGTCACTGTCCGTGGAAACAAAGAGAGAGAGAGAGAGAGAGAGAAGCTGAAAGCACGATTGAGTTTTAGCGGAAAAACTTGGCTTCCAAAAGTCAAAAGCCACCTCTGTTCGTGGGAGTGATTCGCATTTCGATTCTATTTCCCTCTCTCTTCTTTTTTCCTCCCCCATTAAATTTTCTGGTTACATTTCTTTCTCTCTCTTCGCTCCCATTTTCGTTTATTGTTCTCTGAGATTCCGGGCGGGGAGAGATTCTGAAACTCCCCCCTTCCCTCCATCCTCCATTTTCATCCTCTCTGTTTCTCTCTCTCTCTCAATCACCATGATTTTCGATAAGGTCTCAACGCAATCTAACCTTGACTGCTTCCTGCGGTGTATCACCCCCGTGGTTCAATCCCAATCCCTACCCAAGGTAAGTTTTTATTTTGCGTCTGCCTTTGATTGCCAAGATTATCAGAAAATCTTAACATAGATACATTTATGTGACTCTGTTTGTTGTCACGACACAGTCGGAGATTAGAAAGCTGAATCGTTTATGGCATCCATGGGAGAGAGAAACAGTAGAATACTTGAGGCTGGGTGATCTCTGGAATCGCTACGACGAATGGAGTGCGTACGGTGCCGGAGTTCCCATCGCCTTAAACAATGGCGAGACCCTTGTCCAGTATTACGTCCCTTACCTCTCCGCTATTCAGATTTTCACCAGCAACAGATTCAGGTACTTCCATGCGACCCAATCCAGATCAAACAACATGAATGTTGTCATGTTCTGATTGAATTATTGATGATTCATTGGGTATGGATTTTCCAGGGGGGAGGCAGAATCCGGGGAGTGTGAGACGAGGGATTCTTGCAGTGATTGTTACAGCGAGGAGAGTGAGACTGATAAGTTATGGAGGTGCGATGGTTCCTCGTCGTCTGAAGAAGCAGGATTTGAGCAAGACAGTCTCTGGCATCTGAATGACAGATTGGGTCATCTCTATTTCCAGTATTTTGAAAGATCCACTCCATATGGCAGAGTTCCTCTCATGGATAAGGTCCGTTAATCTTTTTTCCTTTTTTCTGGTCTGATTTTCTTTCCTCTTATTCAACGCTATCGATTAGGCACAGTAGCAAAAAGACGAACTTTACGATCACCACATTGATTCGTAGACCATTCTGAAAAGTTGAACTGTAACTTTTGACTTTTCAATACAAATCAACAGACTCATTTATGATTCCTTTTCGTCCTTTTTCATCTTGTCAAAGCTCTCTCTTTCAAAGAACTGTTGTTGCCTTTTGTTGGATGATACCATACCCTTCATTGGATGGTTCGGATTTCAAATTCCTCAAGAGAAAGGAGATTCGATTAGTGATGGGTTAATTTCTCTCCTTTCAGATCAGAGGTTTTGCTGAGAGATACCCTGGCTTGATGTCATTAAGAAGCGTAGATCTCTCTCCGGCCAGTTGGATGGCGGTTGCCTGGTAATTTGTTACACACACACACACGAAGAGTCTTAGAAGCGGTTCATGAATCCATATGAGCATTTTATTAATTTGGTCGAATAATGTGTACCAATTCCCACTGTTTCAGGTATCCGATATATCACATTCCAATGGGAAGGACAATCAAAGATCTATCCACGTGCTTCCTCACTTACCACACACTTTCTTCTTCTTTTCAAGGTATTCCTTTCCCATTGGATTGCTCACATCCATCAAGTTTATGCCTTTTGTTTACAGAATATTTTACGATAAAGTTCTTAGTACTCCCCACAACATCAATGCCATTGCTAATCGTAATTGTCATTTAAAAGAAAAAGAAGTGAATTGGGATGTTATGAATTCGTCGTACTTGTTGACGAGTTACCCAAACCAAAAGGATTAACATAAAATTGCTAAATGCTTTTGTGCAAGGGGTTATAGATTTTCACGTTTCAGTCACAATTCTATTATCTCAGATGATATTGAAATGAAAAGTCGAAACTTTTTTAAAGATATGACATTTTAGGGAAAGTGAAAGAAAATGCAGTAAATAACGGTGGGTGAGTTGTATTATGCAGATATGGACATAGAGGATGACATAGAAGGAGGGCGAGTGAAGAGGAAAGAAGGGGAAGGAATGTCTCTGCCACCATTTGGGCTGGCAACCTACAAAATGCAAGGCAATGTGTGGGTGTCTGGCAATAATGGGAGGGACCAACAGAGGCTTCTCTCGCTCTTGAGCGTCGCAGATTCATGGCTGAAGCAACTCAGAGTCCAGCATCACGACTTCAATTACTTCATGGGCATTCGCCATTCCTGAAAGAACATATATATATATATGTCTATATATATGCCTCTTGGAAATCACATGACAACTAAAGACGCCACCTTCTAGGACATGCATGGTTTTACGTTGTCCTTGAATGCACTAATCGAGCTTTTGCTTTCTTCTTTTTCGCCATTAGAGGCACAGAGGGAGAGAGAGCGTGTGTGTGAGAGGAATGAGGATTTGTAGTCTAATGGTTTAACATTGGAGAGTTCAATTTAGGTTAGATTTTGATGAAACGACCCTCTTGGACAACATACAGCCTCTGTTCCAAGAGGTCTGGTTTGTAGAGATGCTGATTGTGTAATTGATGTTGATCTGAACGAGATAAGAGAGAGAAAAAAAAGAAAAGAAAGTTACATATCTGTTTGAAATTATTTATAATGCAATATTTGATCTAAGTAACAATTCCACACGGAAATTTATATATGTATAATTTATGTGACGTGTGATTGACAGTTGTGATGAGGAAACAAGTACATCCATGAAAAAGGAAAAAATAATAAAAGAAGGAAGACGAACTTGGGATTGGCGGTGGTGGGTTGTAATGAATGACATTGTTTGAAATAACATTTGGATTGGGATTGCGTGTGGACCAATGGATCCACAAAGTGGGGTCATGCAAGCCTAATGGATGACATTACTCTTTTAAGTTTTTTTCTTTTTTTGTGATAACCATTACTCTAAAGTCTTAACTCGTGCTAATATTTAGGGGGAAAAAAATCTGTCTGACATCCTTAAAAAAGAATATAATCATAAAAAATAAGAAACTTTAAGGAAGGAATATAACCATAAAAGGTCTCGTAATAATAAGTGAGTATTATACAATAATAAGTTTTGATGCTGGCAATAATAATATGTTTATGCTACGTTTGAGATGCGTGATTTTTCCTAATATCTGGTTATGAAATAATGGCCATATAGATATATCTTGAAGAGGGTCATTGAAATCCTTTTGATAGGTAAAATTAGACATAAATAGGAAAAAGAAAAATTAGAGTCCACTTCTACATGCAAAGGCGGTACTCACCCTACTTTATTCTTATCTCCCTTCGAGTCTATAGATCAATATAGAAGTCATCTAATTACACCTTCGTTCTTCCTTAATGCTGATTTTGTCATTACTCATTACCCATCTTTCTCTCGCCTTTATAAATCATATCATGTGGTCGGTTGGCACATTTATAATCACTTTTTGTTTTTGGTAAGACTTTTGTGGTAATCACTTCCTAATCCTTCACTTCCAACATTTGACCTTTTTTTTGTCCGATTTTGACATTTTCTCTGTAACTCAGAAGCTTCATGGAAAACAAAGATGCCGGTGGCGTGTGGCTACAATGGCGTTTAAATCCTCATCCAAGTCCTCATGTGTGTGTGCGGTGTATTTACAATTTAGTTATCTTAGTAAAACACTACCTCTTGGGTAAAATGGATAAAGATTGAAAATAAAATTAATTGGGTTTTAGATTTAGAACCAAGTTAAATCTCTAACTAACATTATAATAAGGATTGGAGGCAGTGAAAAAACAAAGAACAAACATCAATTTTACCATGAAATTATTATTTGAATTAGCATTTTGAAAGTGATTTTACAGTATATGAAATAAATATGTAAAAAGAATTTTGTCTCTGGAAAAGTTAATCCAAACATCTTATAGACTCCCCAAAAAAAAAATGTCACCTACTTGACCTGCAATATTGTGATGTGGTTCAGGATACGCCACTTTAACATGGGAGGGGTCTTAATAATGCTTATTATTAAATACCCACAAGGTATGACCATGGCCATCAGTTCACACACTGAGATTGAATAAAACCGTCCATTTGAGCTGCCATTGAATTGAATCACAGCGACAACCTGCATTAAAATGGAAATGGAGTGTTTAGAGGAATAAATGAGAAGTGGAGAGGCACGAGGTTTGGTGGAAGAGGCAGAGACATCCATCAAAGAAGTTGTCGTCACTTGGCACATGCACGGTCCCTCTTCTGCTCCTCCAAGTCAATGCTGCAATAAGATATCATCCCCAGCTGGGTCCGACTTCACTTCACTTCTGCTTTCCTCAGTTTCATATCTCTTGTACTTTTCTAAACTCGTATCTTTCAACCTTGAATGCACGCCTCAAGTGTTTTTATTGGCCTCTCGCGTTTCTCTTGACTTTAATTTTATTTCTTATGCGACTTTACATTTGCATTTCCCATTTGTAAAAAGATTTGAGAGAATTTTACCTTGATTGTCGACAATCTAACGCAACCTTCGGGTTTAAGACTGGTTATAAAACAGCAGTGGAATGTCATCTATTGACAAAACACTCGTTCACTTGCTTTGATATATGACGTTGCCTTCAGTTTTTCAGTTTTCTCTTTGCTTAAATGAAATTTCAGGAAAATTTGTAGTTGGTAACTTCTAAACTAACCTCTCTGTTGACATGGGCATATCTTTGCTGTAATTTGAAATAGAGGAAGAGCCGAGATTTGAAAAAAAAAAAAAAAAAAACTAGAACAATATGTTGTTTCCCAAAGAATGAAAAGGACTGGGGAAAACAGAGATGTTGGGCACATGATTGAGTGTTATGTTGAGATGTAACAGTGTGAAAGCGTGAAATGGTGAGAAATGGATATAAATAGGGGTTTGAATGATGGGGTGGGGATAAGGTGGATACGGGAATGAATGAGGTAGCTTGCAGGGCAAGTAAAGCTTCCAATTTTTCCAACAACATGGTTTCACTTTTTTACTTGTACCTTACAGTCTTACACTGCTTTATTAATCCTGTCAAATTTCCCCCCCTACATATAGGTATCTTTTTAATAAAAATAATTCTCCTAATAAATATTCGAGCTTTACTTCGTCATATTATGAAAAACTAATTTATTCTAGTAGATCTAACTCCGTTGGTTAATCTTCTCAAACTCCACTAGTTATAGTCGCTCTTCTTCATCTATCGTGCCTCTCACTAAAGAGGTTTTTTTTTTTTTAAAACCAGGGCTCACTAAAGAGTTTTTGGCCCATTAATTCCTAAGGATGTTTATGACCACTTCATCATCGTACATTTTTCAACCCTCCAATTTTATTTGGAGTTTATAGTTCTTTTTTTTAATTTTTTTTTTAAAAGTGACAATTCAAACATTAGTTTTATTTTAGGTTCTATATATAATAATAATAATAATAATAATAATAATATTTGTAGCCAATTATTAAAAATACAAGAGAATAAAACAAGATTAAAACTAGATAATTGAAATTTGTGATGAGAACCTATCCTCATCAAATAAAAAACAGGGGAATTGTGTGCCATAAATAGCTATAGCTAATTATTATTAATACTTCATGAAAATTTTTTAAATTCTAATACTTTCTCCATATCTATTTATTTGACTTGACTTAGATTTCTATCTTGTCCCTGCATATATGACATGTTCAAAAATTTTAAGGTGTAACTATTGTTTGTTTCAAATGATACCCTTATTCAATGCCCAAAAAAAATACCCTTATTAGATAAATAGGATTGCATGAAAGTAGTTAAAATTTAAACTAGTATGATATTTAATGGATGAAAAAACTCGAAAAGAAAAAAACAGTTCATAAATAGTGTATAAAAACATATTTACAAGTTACAATGATGTTATTTATTATTAATGAAGATGAGGAGTGTGTTTTATCTTCTTATTAGAAGTTAGCTACTTCTGTTGTATATACCCAACTCTTGTTGGTAGGAGTAAAACTGATCCTGGTTCACGTTTTTTTTTTGTTGATATCTTCAGGTTTGTTAAAAATTAAGTTTTGTTTTTACAAAAGTTGGGCTCGGACGTGGGTTAGTGTCGACCCTTTGTCATTTTGTCTTTTTGGTTAAAACTTAGCACAGGATGCGCCAAAAATGAGTAAAGCCATTGAGCAGGTCCAAATTTTATGGGTGACAACTAAGAGCAGAAATTGACTTGAGGCCCAATAAAAATCACTGGGATGGGTAATTATATACTACATCCATTTTTTAATATAAATTTTTTTTTAATTTTAATTTTGATTTTAAATATAAGATCTTAATTTATTTTATTTTTCATATTCATCTTTTTTTTAAATAGTCCTTATAATAATATTAATTTTAACCAATACACTTGATTAGTAAGAATATTTTAGAAAAGACAATACTTTTTTTTATTACAAATAACTAAATTAACTAATTTTTTATCTATTCAAATTAGTCGAATAAATTTTATATTAAACACTATATTACTAGGATTTATTTAATGCTTCATGTGTTTAGAACATTTTTTTTTAATCAATCGATTACTATACATACCTTCTTTTATGTAAACTCGGCCACTTTTTGGCCGCCCCTGATTGTATATGTACACGCGCTTCAATCAATCTTCAAAGCGTTGACTTAAGTATCAGTGGCGGGGCAGCGGCGTTTTCAGCGGCTTTCTAATTTTTTGAGGTCCACAATAAATTTCAGAGATACAACACACAAGTTCATTTTTTGCTTTTTTTATTTAATTAAGGGTTTCTCCTTTTGACACTTAAAATGCCAAAAATTTTTTGCCTCTCTCAATAAGTGCAGTTCCTGAAAGCTGAAATTTAAATTTGTATTAACCTCCTTTCAAGAAAGAGACTACTTATCATCTTAACCAATAGCTTGTTGGTTATAACACAAAATTTATTAAGAGTGTTGAGCATTGAAATTTGAACTATGCATTTTTCTATTTTTAAAAATTATTTTAATATCTATAAAATTTAAAATAAAATTTTTTAACTGTAGGTTTTTGAAAAAATGATTTCCTATTAAAAATTTAAAAAATTTAAATATAGAATGTTAAATTTGTATATAATTGATTGATATAGATTTTATTGCAACGATAAGTATTATAATATCCATACTTATGATAAGCATTGAAACTCATTTTCCACCACAAAAAAAAGTAGGAAATTAGTGATAGATTTTTTTTTGGTTTCTAATCAAGGAAATTATGTCATTAATTAATTCAACAGAGGAAATTGATCGCTAATTTTGTACTTTTTATTTGTTGTAATAATCAATATCCTTATCCTTAATGGTCGTTGTGATTGAACACGTTGCCGAGGCACATCCTATAGGCCCATCTTGGATAAGAATATGGTGTGGGGTCAGTGGGGAGCACCAGCCCAAATCATTGGGCCCACTTTCTTTCGTCTCACCTGGTGATGCCGTTTGTTTATTCTAGCACCCAAAAAAAAAAAAAAGATACCGTTGATTGCAACTAATTAAGGTTTTGTTTGATTTTCTATTTCTAGAACAATTTTTTGTTTGAAAAAAATTAAAAATGACTTATTTGATAATTAGTTTTTAATTAATTTTTTTATTAAGAAAATAAGAATCTGTTTGGAAAAAAAATCAAAACAACTTCTCTATAAAACTGCTCTAAAAACATATTAAAAAAAGGAACCAGAATCAAACAATGCTCAAGTATTTTTTGAATGAAAAATCGAAGTTTTGTGGATGAAAAAAATCCGAAACTTTGATCCAATTAATGACGGCTGTGCAATTAATGACAATCAATCACACACATGCAGGGCCATGGAGTTCACAAATCCAAAAAGTCCGCCTCCCATATTAATTGCTTGGCTACTCAGAGAGAGAGGGGGGCCATGGATTGCGCTTGGCTTTGTGTTCCATTATTGAAGCAGTGGATTTGCAACTGCGCAGGATAGTAATAATACTCTCCTCCCATCCCAATTAGGAGCCTTCATGAGACCCGGCCACTTGTTCATCCTCTATCCTATCTTGATCTGATCTGGATGGGACATAACTAAAATAGGAAAGAAACGACCTGTTTACTTTTTGTAATTTTCTTTAAATGGGACCCAACTACTCATTTTCAAATCTCTTCGTCGGTCATGCTCCAAGATCAACCCAAAGTGCCGCGATTACGACCACAGTTGCTCACTTAAAAACACTTAGGTCCGTTTCAAAGTACTAAAAATGAGAGATACGCGTTAAGATTGTAATTTAAAAAATATTTAACATGAGTAATTACTTGTTATATAGAATTAAATAAACATATGAAAGTAGAATTAAGGAATACCACTTTTTCCCGTTGTATTTTCTAATCTCACATACATAAGTTTGTCCAATTTCATATAATAAATAATCTCTTATACTAATAACTATTTTCTCAATCTCAATCACAATCTTTATTTCTCATTTTTAAAGCAATGGCTGAAGTAGTGCGGGGGTAGTGTAGGTTGAAAAGGCCTTCTCTCACGCAGTGGCTGAAGTGGTGCCACGAAGTTCGGGTGTTTTCCCGAGAGAAACACGGGTGCCAGGTTGAGTTTGGAGTCACGTAGCAGCCAGCGCAAAGAGTAGGTGAGGCCATACAGGATGGATGTCTCCCCTGTCGGAGGGGTGGTGGGCTGAGGAGGAGCCTCATGATGCGGCCGAGGTAGGTGGGGTCGGGAAAGGGTGCGTCGGGAAGAGAGGCGGTGATCTGGGACAAGGTGATTGGTCCACCGTGGCGGCATATGATATCGGGTATGCGGAGCTCCATATATCAGCCTGGCCTTGTAGTATCAGTAGTGCTTGAAATGAAACACACACATGTATATATACGTGTTTATCTATGAGGAACTTCACGAGATTTTGAACTCACATCTAGAAAATTCTTGATTAAAAGAGGTACAATACTCTTTTTTTTTTTGGGGGCAGAGGGAATACAAGACTGATAATTATAAGGAAAAGTTCAACATGTATATCTCTTAATTAATCTGATAAACAATCTTAATAGTATTTCATATGCGTTTATTTGATTAAACTAATTCATAAAGATGATAAGTAAGATCAGATGCATGTTATTTAGATTGACATGAGTAGCAACCAGAATTGTTACTTAAGTAGGTAGTTGAGAGTCTAAGTTCTCGCGTGTATTATGCTACAACCTAACAGAGTGCACTTTTTTTATACCTTTTTAAAAAGGGAAAGCCTCAATAACGGATGGTATAGTAGGGATTTTGATGATGTTGTAACGACCAAAACCGGCTTCCTTCAATAAGGTGCACCATTCAGCTTCACTTCTCTCCTTTCCCCCCGTTGTGTGCGCCATCATGAGCAGGTCATATGCCATCTTTGTGTTGCCAAACACGCCACAGTCATCTTCTTCCTCCAACACTATCTCCACTATTACGATCTTCCCCTTCTTCTCCGCCACCGCCCTTTTGCAGTTCTGAAGAATCTTCATGCAGTGCTCATCGCTCCAATCATGCAGAACGCACTACGTCACAAGTTAACATGCAATTTCTCAGACACAATACAAAATTTCCTCTCCTGTGATGAAGTGAATCAATCAGAAAAACAGAATTTGCAATATATCAACTTAATCACCTTAAGGAGAATGGCATCAGCTGCAGGAATGGACTGGAACATGTCACCGCCGACATGGGTGACTCCAGGGTACTCATCGGCTGCGGCGATGACATGTGGCAGATCGAAGTTGATTCCTTTGATGTGTGGGTGTGACTTCACGATCTCCGCCATGGCGCCACCGGTCCCACCACCGACGTCCACCAATGTTTCTATGTTGGTGAACCCCTCTCTGTACTCGCGCAGCAACGCTTCCGTGATGAACTCACTCGTGCATGCCAATGCATCGTTGAATATCTTGTTAAACGCTGCGTTTTTGGAGGCGAAGTCCCACATCTCGCACCCGTGAGCCTTCTCGAAGGCGATCCCACCTTCTCTGACGCACGCACTCAAATAATGCCACGGGGCAAGCTGCCATGGATGGTTTTCCATCATCACCATCGGAGCCAAGCTGAACTGAGAACCATGGAGGAGCCACTTGGACGCCTCCGTCAAGCCATAGAGAGCGTCACCGCCGTCGGATGGATGGTGGAGGGTAAAGATCTCCTTGCGGACGAGTGATCTCATGATGCGGAAGAGGTAAGGAATATCTGGGGAGGTAGGAGATTCCAAGGAGGCTGCCAGCTGGGACAGGGTGATTGGGCGGCCATGAGAGTGTATGACGTCGGCTATGCGGAGCTCCACGGCAGATTTGAGCGCCATGGAGTCCACGAACCCGAAGAGGCCGTCCCAGATAACTGCTTGGCTCTTCAGGGATTCCTGAGACAGCGTTTGTGTGTGTTCCATTATGGAAGTAATGTGTGTGCAAACGAGAAAGAGAAGAAGATATATTTATAGCAACGAATGGACCAAGAAAGTGGAAAAGAAATCTCCATTCCATAATGCTTTCCCCATTCTGCGCTTGAAATGCATTGATGATGAGCATCTATTGGATTATACAGTAGTGAAGTTGACTGTCAAAATTATACGAGAGTAATATAAACCACATGGCACGACCACAAGCTGTTTAATAAATTATTACAAACAATGGTATTAAATCCAATCCAGAGTCGTCATCTTAGAAAATTGGGGGTTCTTTGGCTGGTTCGTCGTGTTGAATTTTACTGTTCTTTTCTTTCATTGCTGGATTTGAAATGATATTATCTTAAATTAAAAATTAAAAAATAGTTCCATCATAATTATACTTTAATAACTTTGTTTTGTTAAATTATAGTTGGTTCATCCTTGAATGTTTTATTTACCTGCTGTGAATTAATGTTTTTTTATTTAATTAAATAGTACTTTTTTAAGGTGATATATAAATATTTTTGTATATTTAAATTACGTTATATTACTTTAATCATAATTGGATTGATTTGATTGAAGCAGGATTAAATCAATGATTCTTGAACCATTGCGAGTTTAATCACCAGTTCAGATTTTAGAATAATGTTGGTACAAACCAAGCAAACTCGATAATGCATTCCAGGGTCATGATTGAACCCATCTCAGACAAGGGTTATTTTGATCCGCCTACCTCCGTAGATCATTCTTAATGGTCGATCAAGATCATCACTTTTCTTTTTTAAAACTTTTTTAAAAACTTAAAAGAAAGCAAATAAAATTTGAAAATAAGCCAGAAAATTAAAGGAATCGAAGCGGAAAGGATGTTGTATAACTATCATGAGATGTATGATTTTCTTTTTGTGGTTTCTATATTTGTGTTCCGAAGATGTTTTTTTCCCCGGGGGCATGTGCAGCTAAACTAACTCATATGGCAGGTTTTCTTCTCTACTTTTTTTCCCCCGAATTTATGGGTATATATTTAGATATATGTATGAGAATGATGAAATTTGATTATTATAAAAATAGGAAAAAAGTATTAGAGTGTGTTTTGGTTGGAATTGGGTGATTGTTTAGTTAAGAATGTAGTTTGAAATTAGAGGGGAGATGAAGACCGGGGGAAAGCAGAGCTAAGAATTTGTAGGAGGGGGAGCCCCGTATTAATTCCGGAACGGAGGGGAGGGCGGCGCCTCCCCTTAGGGAGGGGGCCACTGGCATTAAACATGGTTTATAATTGGGTGGCATAGCACAAAATTATTATTATTTATTTATTTAATGTACAATTAAAATAATAATATTAGTTTTTTCCTTGTCCTTGATATAAGTCACTTATAATATATTGCCACATATCAAGAAATATATTAAATTAAAAAAAATTAGTTTTACCTTTCTTAAAGTTTTTTCCTCTCTATTTCCACTTACAAATAATTCTCATTAAGGGTGTTCAAAATAGGCCCATCCTGATCCCAACTATATTGGGATAGGACAGACCCGCCCCAAAATTTTTTAGGACAAGACAAAAATGGGACTGGGATGAGATGAGATATAGGATGGGTCATCCCTCCCAGTAGTAATATTTTTTTTATCATGTTATAATTATTAAATGTTAAAAATACAAAATGTTTAGGGCATGTGTAATACAAAATGTTTTACTCTCTGATTCTATTTCTAGGGTAGAAAAAAAAGATAACTTTAGCCCTATTTATAAGTTACTTTATTAAATTTTTAGCATAAATGTATTATTTCATCTTATTTATTATAGTATAGATAGTTATCTTTTTTGAAAGGTTTGTATATTAAATACAGGTAAAGTTAGAAAGTTGTTATGTTTAATGGAGAATCAATACATTTTAAGATTTTTTTAATCTGTGTAAGATAGACTGAAAATGCCTCATCAATAAAACCATAGGAGTATATTTGTAGCTTTTAGCACATACGTAGTTGAAAAGTTGAATGATTATTATTTATTTAGAACATTTATAGTTGCTTATGATTTTTAGAATGGTGAAAGTGAATTTTAGAACTATTATATTACTGATTATTATTTATGTGAGGTTTTGTTTAAGAAGGCTAAGCCCAAAACAATAAAAAAATAAATAAAAAAAATGCTTTTAGAAGGACTAAATCTAAATTAAAGAACTAAAAATATTTTACGGAAAAAAAAAGACATCCCAGGCCTATCCCCATCCTATTCCAATTAAGACCAGACAACACTGAAATGGGACAGGATGTAAGATATATTTTGGATGAGTCTATCCCAGTCCCATCTCATCTATGAATAGTCCTAATTCTCTCGTCTCTGTTTTTTTCCTCTTTCTAAGGAGAATTAGATAAGAGTAAAAATAAAAATAAATGGGCATTAAATATACTATAAGTAACTTATATTTAGAACGAAAGTGGTATCAATTTATTGAGAGAGCTAAAGTATACTTTTAGTCCTTTAACTTTACACAATGTTTTATTTTGGTCTCTTAACTTTAAAAAGTAAACTTTTAGTCCCCTAACCCTAAAACTATTAACAAAAAATAATGATATTGAGCTCTTGAATACTAATAAAATATTACTAAATGCTAATATATTAACTTTAATATTCAAAACAACTATGATTGTTACAAAAAAACTATTGTTTAACACTAACAATTTTGAGGTCAAAGGACTAAAAGTATAATTTTTAAAGTTAAGGAACCAAACTAAAACCTTACATAAAGTTAAATGACCAAATTTATATTTTAATCTATTGAGAATTAATCACAACCTTACAATTAAGAAAAATTTAAATGAGGTGTTTGGTGTTAATTGGATTGTAAGACTCCCACTCACAAAGTTAGCCAAAAGTCATCTACATGCTCTCTTTATTTTTTTCAAATGTCAATGAGCAAGGGCGGTTTGGTTTGGATCTCCTTTGAACCTTCGAACTTCTGAGCATGGTTTTACTAACTTGACGGGATGGTTGTATCATGTTTTAATGGATCTGCTTCTTCAATCTCAGGTTCTAATGTACACTATTTTGTATAGCCTTTGGTACTTTAGGAATTTAAAGGTATTTGGGAATAGATCATGCTGCCCAGAGCAAGTTTTAAATCATGTTAAATGGCTGATGTATCAGAGCAGTATTATTCAAGATCATAGCATGAGGCTGAATGACACAAAGGAAAGAAGCATGGTCTCAGTCCCTTCCGGTTTTTACCATGGTTGGGTTTTGCTGCTCAAGTTGGGTCGGTTAAGACAATTTGGACGTACTATTCACCAAGTTTGGGTTCAAATTTTCTTTCAGAAAAGTCTACTATGGTCTAAAGTTAGTATGGTTCCCAAAAATAAAAGTCCCACTCAAACAGTGTTAGAGGACTTGCGCAAGAGGCTCTACTTTGTATGTTATCAGTCTCTCATGTTGGCTCCCTGTGCCTATAATCTATCAATAATAATGAATAGACCAAGCATGGTAAGACTGTTGACTGGACAGACTTCATATCATCAGGAATGCAAGGTCATCGTGCAGGATATTAGGTGTTTATGTGCTAGGTTTTCTAATGTATCCTTCTTTTCTTGTTAGATTGTACATGTTATTATCAAAAAAAAAATCTATATGCTCTCTTGCCTTATATATACACCCGCGCGCGTACACACAAATAATGTTCCTACCTAAGACAAGCAGGAGTTAGCTAGATAGAGCTATGTATCCCCAACTTGACAAACACTATTCCTCTTGTTCTAAATATAAAACCTTTATATACACTATATAAAGGTTTTATATTTAGAACCGGAGCAGTAGTATTTTTCTTAAGAGTATTATAACTATTTTGGGCCCTACCTAAAAGAAAATTGTTAATTCTGTATATTATAGTCCTTACCTAAATTGGAAAGAAACCTTCAAATGAATTAGCGACGGGTCGGTGTTTTTTTTAAGACTTAGCTTGAGGGTGCACCACATAATTACTTGTGCGCAGGAGTGACTATTTGGTATATATCTTAGATTTTACGTTTATTTATATACAATAATATAAGCATCGTTTCTCATCATATTTATTTTTTTAACTTACATATGTTTCATTTTAAAAAATTTGCATGCTATATGTATTTAGTTGACAAAAAATGAGATCAAGGATATAAATAAACGCGTAAAAGTGATGCAAAGCGGTCATGGCAAAATACTGTAAAAAATCTATATCAAACTTAAATAAAGAATATTATATCTAACTGAGATAAGAGTTGATATATGCAAGAAATTGTAGTTAACAAGATACAAATTTGTGACCTCTTTTTTAGCATTTATGCATAGTTAGCAATTGTAAACTACTAATATAAATAACAAATACTTTATTCTGCTAGGTTTAGCTGACTCTACATGAATTATATGATGTTTTTGTATTCTATTAATAATCAAATTCTTAGATAGGTATTAATAAAAAGTCCCATTTAATAACCTCATGGAGCATTCACTTTAGTCTTCTCAAACGATTTTCAATTATTTTCTTTTTAATAGACACCACACCTAATCACCTCTGATAGATGAAAAGTAATTTCAAAACTAGTGTAGTTATTTTTCACGCTCAATATGTGTATATTTATTAAGATAAGAATATTGCGTCAACCAATTAACATAGAATATAGTGTAAAGAGAGCAGGTATGAAAGTTCACACGGATTTGTCTGGTTTTGCTCCCACATATGTTCATTAATAACTTTGAACCTCCCCACCTGTTAGACCTTAATTAGAACACCATTTTCCAACTTTAAAAATAGAGTACTCCGATCCTCACTCAGAAGAATATGATCTTTAAGAGTTACTTCATTCTTGATTTCTATCCCTTTGACGAAACACATTGCCTGACAAAGACCTTTAGAATTAGAAGAATAAGAATGCTCAAACAAACTCTCTCAACCAATATATACATAAGATGAAGCTGTACGTAAGAAGTCAAATGACAAAAATTTTGCAAGATTAGACTCTAGAGTGATGCTTATATATGAATCCAGAAGCAACAATTCATTCATATCACTCATCAAGTGTACTTAAAACATAATGTTGATAGCCTAATATTGAGATATACGGCCATTCCAGATCAAAAGTAGCCATGATTAGCTTTCAAAAAAGTTGTCAGACATATAAAAATCACCTGTCATGGACGCAACCGGCGAATGCTCCTCAAAATATGACATTTGCGGTGAATTTTTATAGTTGATGGACGACTATTCAAAGTACAGCGCAGCCATCGATGCGTTCACACGGAGTAATTAATATGAGAAACTAAAGTCAACCAAAATAATTGAAAATAAGATAATTTAACCAAAAAAAAGTTTGCACAAACAAATTTTAGACACAATAATCATATTTTTTGGGATCAATATTCAAACTTCCGGGGAAACTTGCATCAGTAGCTAAGCCGGATAAGCCTCGATGATGGACACGAAAGAAGGTATGTTGATGACTTGATAGCGAGGGAAGCCTGCTTGATTCAGTAGATTCTTCCATTCCAACTCAGTCCTCTCCCTCCCAGACGTGTGTGCAATCATAAGCAAATCAAAGACCAAGCCTGTGTCATCGAACAACCCTTTCCCGTCTGGCTTCAGAACAAATTCTGCTATGATCACCTTCCCTTTATCCTTTGGCACCGATTTCTTGCAGTTCTTCAGTATCTTTATGCAATCTTCGTCGCTCCAATCGTGCAGTATCCACTGCATTATTATATTCATAAATCCAATCAGTTTGGAACCCAAAAGTATTCAGAACTCAGATTTATCCCGAAGAATCCATTCGCCCAACCAAGTACTTCATTCTTTGTTTATTGATGCACCCAAAAACATCAAAAATCAAATCAATATGCATGGACTTCGTAGATAAATTTTGAGATTAAAATTGGTAATTCAAGTATCAACCAGTTAGTTGTCGGGTACTCCTCCAGTCTTTAATATAAGACTCATTTAACTAATTTTATTAGATTAAGGAAGTTAGGTAAGTTAGTTAATTATAAGAAAAGTGACACATTTTTTCTAAAACACCATAATCATCTTTTTTAATACCCTCTCTCCCTCTTCTTATAGTTGAGGGAGTATCCATACGGGTAATTTAAAGAAAATTGATAAATATGAGAAATGGGTTTTATATTTAGGACCAAAACCAACTCAAGAATTGGGTCCCATATTAAGAACTGGAGGAGTAATATATACACACCTTCATGAAAACGGCATCTGCATTAGGCACGGAGAGGAACATGTCTCCTCCGACGTGGGTGACTCCGTCATGTTCAGGCGCGGTGGAAACCACATGAGGAAGATCGAAGTTGATGCACTTTATGTGGGGATACGCTTTCACTATCTCCGACACAGTCCCTCCGGTGCCACCCCCAACATCCACCAACGACGAAATGCTCTCGAACCCTTCCTTATACGCAGAGACGATCGCCTTCGTCACGATCCTCGCCGTGCACGCCATCCCTTCGTTGAACAGCTTGTTGAATTCTGGGCTCTCCGATGCCAAATCCCAAATCTCTCGGCCGTGAGCCTTCTTGAAGGCCTCGCCGCCTTCTCTCACGCAGTCGCTGAAGCAGTGCCAGGGAGCCATAAGGTCGGGGTGATTCTCCATGAGAAGCATGGGTGCCAGGTTAAGGTCGGAGTCACTTAGCAGCCACCGAGAAGAGTGGGTGAGGCCGTAGAGCGTGTCTCCTCCGTCGGAGGGGTGGTGGGCGGCGAAGATGTTGCGGCGGACGAGGAGCCTCATGATGCGGTAGAGGTAGGTGGGGTGGGGACAGGATGCGTCGGGAAGAGAGGCGGTGATCTGGGACAAAGTGATCGGTCCACCGTGGCGGTGTATAATATCGGGTATGCGGAGCTGCACGGCAGATTTGAGGGCCATGGAATCGGCGAAGCCGAACATGTACTTCCAGATATCAGCTTGGCCTTGTAGCATCAAATCTTTCTCTTCCATTGCATTTTCTCCCATCTCTCTCTTGAAAATAGTAATTTACAACCTCTCCTCTTGAATCATGTAAATGATTTATAATATATACACGAATTTAGTAGGAATAGTTCAATGCATATCTCTTAATCTGACACTAAATAATTTTAATAGCATTTCATGCGCACGCGTATATATATTGACGACTAAGTTGGATGCATGTATTCACATTGATTAAGTTAATAAATATGATAAGTGAGGTGCATTATTATTTAATGAACAAAAGCATCTCTTGACGGTTAATGAACAAAAAATTAGTTTTATTTGTTAATCATAATGAATCATTAATCATTATTACATCCACGTGTTATCACGACAGCCTCCAAAGTCCAACCAAACAAACAAATGAAACCATCCACATCCAAATCATAATTAATTACGATATTCAGCCTGAATCACAAGACCGAACAAATTAAAGAAACCCAGAGTAACCAAAAACAAACACAGGCAACCTGACGACCGGCCTATTAAAACCGGAAAAAAAGGGGGGGCCTCACAAGTAACAAAACGAACAAACTCGAAAATAATAGATGTAACAAATAATAATACTACCCCGATCTTATTTTATAAGATCTAGTTTATAAACTACAAATGAGATTTTATAATTAAAACCAGAGATAGTAATAATAAAAGATGAGGAGGAGGATCTTTTCTCTATCTTTCCTATCCTCTACCCTCTTTTCCTTCACCTACTGGATCAACATTTCAATGTGTTTGGCTCTTCTTTGCAATAATTATATTACTTCTGGTCCTTAATATAAAAACTCATTTGACTTTTATTTTGGTTTTAAATATAAGACTCTAATATACTTTTTTTTCTCATTTTTATTCATTTTTTTCAAGTTAGTCTAATACATTTTATTAGCAAAGATTTTTTAAGAAAGACAACACTTATTTATTACAAATAATTAATTTAATTAGTTTTCTTAATCTATTTAAATTAGTCAACTAGTTCTTATATTAAGAACAGAAAGAACTAATAATGTAGTATTTAATTTGAAATAAGCTAGACATCGATGATTAACATATAAATAGCCCCGTGTCAATGCCAACAAGTAGATTGACGTCAGTAATAGGGACTATTATGAAAGTGAATAAGGGTAAAGGGTGACTGCGTATGATCACTAAACGATCAAATGTGTTTGCTTCTTCTTTGCAATACATCTAATTTGTTTTTTGTTTTATGTGAAACTATGATGGATGCGCTGTTCTTTGTAGTAAAAATAAAATTCGCATAAGCAGGTTCAAATTTCAATCAAAAGAACCACACATTAGACAGAGATTGAAGTTTTATTAGGTCATAATAACATGGAGCGTTAATTAAAAAGCAGACAATAATAATCAACCACCACCACTCAACTTATCGCTATATATTTATTAGTCCCCCACACATTTTGCAAAATAATAAACCCATTCAACGAGCTAGTAAGCAAATATTGGAAATTGCACATTATACTTTCCAATTCTGCCCATAACATGCTATGCATTCAAAAAGGGGAAACCTCAATAATGGAAGGTATGGTGGGGATTTTGATGATTTTATAACGACCACAACCGGCTTCGTTCAATAAATTGCACCATTCAGCTTCACTTCTCTCCTTTCCCCCCGTTGTGTGCGCCATCATGAGCAGGTCATATGTCATCTTTGTGTTGCCAAACACGCCACAGTCATCTTCTTCCTCCAACACTATCTCCACTATTACGATCTTCCCCTTCTTCTCCGTCACCGCCTTTTTGCAGTTCTGAAGAATCTTCTTGCAGTGCTCATCGCTCCAATCATGCAGAACCCACTACTTTACCAGATAACATGCAACAATTTCTTAGACACGGTACAAAATGCCCTCTTGTGATGATATGAATCAATCAGAATTTGGGATATATCAATTAAATCACCTTAAGGAGAATGGCATCAGCTGCAGGAATGGACTGAAACATGTCACCGCCGACATGGGTGACTCCGGGGTGATCATCGGCTGCGGCGATGACATGTGGCAGATCGAAGTTGATTCCTTTGATGTGTGGGTATGACTTCACGATCTCCGCCATGGCGCCACCGGTCCCACCACCGACGTCCACCAATGTTTCTATGTTGCTGAACCCATCTCTGTACTCGCGTAGCAACGCTTCCGTGATGAACTTACTGGTGCATGCCAATGCATCGTTGAATATCTTGTTAAACGCTGCGTTTTTGGAGGCGAAGTCCCACATCTCGCAACCGTGAGCCTTCTCGAAGGCGATCCCACCTTCTCTGGCGCACGCGCTCAAATAATGCCACGGAGCAAGCTGCCATGGATGGTTTTCCATTATGACCATCGGGGCCAAGCTGAACTGAGAACCATGGAGGAGCCACTTTGACGCCTCTGTCAATCCGTAAAAGTCTCACTGCCGTCGGATGGACGGAGGATGGTAAAGATCTTCTTGCGGACCAGTGATCTCATGATGCGGAAGAGGTAAGGGATATCTGGGGAGGTAGGAGATTCCTGCCAGCTGGGACAGGGTGATTGGGCGGCCATGAGAGTGTATGATGTCGGCTATGCGGAGCTCCACGGCAGATTTGAGAGCCATGGAGTCTACAAAGCCGAAGAGGCCGTCCCAGATAACTGCTTGGCTCTTTAGGGATTCCTGAGACAGCATCTGTGTGTGTTCCATTGAAGCAATATATGTGTGCAACTGTACGTGAAAGTGGGAATGACATCTTCATATAAACAAAGATGGTATCTTTATAGGAATGTAACAAATATCATGACAAATACCTTGCGGATCTCGGGGATTTGGCAGATAAAATTTAAAAGCCCTGCTTACCTATATATTCTTCTTTTTTTCAAGGATATCGTTTTTATGTCTGTTTTGATATTGGTGGAGATCGCGCATCAGTTTATTTAACATGTCTATTGTCTTTATAAAAGATTGATACATAAATTAACAAGAGACATAAACGGGGAACCATTTTTAGTGTTCATCACAATAATGAGTATCATGATATTCATCAAATTTCAACCATTCAACTTTACTATGAATGGCCAGAATTTAATATTTAATATTTTTATTTTTAAAAATATTTTTCTTTAATATATATATAATCCAAAATAAATGTAATATCTTAACTGTAAGTTTTTTTAAAAAATAATTTTTAATTTAAAATAAATTAAAAATTTAAATTCAGACCTCCGTCATTATTACATTTTTATTTAACTCTTATTTTTGATTTCTATTTATATACATGGGAGTGGTTGAAACAGTGGAAACTATTGCATGATTGAGGAATAAAAACTAATTTTATTCGTCGATAGTTGAAAGACAGAATATATATGATGACTGGAGGAGTGGCATTACGTTTTTGTCCATTTCCTCGATACATATTAAAAGGTAGCACACTCATTCTGGGTAGAGTACTATAATTTCATTTTTATATTTTTAATAATTTAATAATTTAATGTTTACAGGATGTAAAATAAAAAATATCTCTTAACAGTCTATTTTTCAAAAATTGATTGTTTATATTTAAAATTTTTAAATAGGAACTATTGAAATGTATAAACCCACAACGCCAAGAGAGGAAAGAAGCAACGACAAGGAATCAAAAGGGGCCCTTAGTACGTAATGATCACGTAAGTGTATTATGACAAACTGATTATGGAATAGTCAAACTTGTACTGAATACTTCATCATCACTGGCCATAACTTTGTTTTTTGAAGAACAAGTAAAGAGAGAAGCATTAAATGCGTGGTTGAAACAGAGGTAGGTTGGAGGATGGGGAGCATTATCAGATAGGATAAGCCTCGATGATAGATAAGAAAGAGGGTGTGTTGATGATTTGATAGCGAGGGAAGCCAGCTTGATTTAGCAGATTCTTCCACTCCGACTCAGTCCTCTCTCTTCCACCGGAGGAATGAGCAATCATGAGCAAGTCGAAGAGCAATCCAATGTCATCGAACAGGCCATTGCCCTCTGGCTTCAGCACAAACTCTGCTATTATCACCTTCCCTTTATCCTCTGCCACCGCTTTCTTGCAGTTCTTCAGTATCTTTATACAGTCTTCGTCGCTCCAGTCATGCAGCAGCCACTGCACTTGCATTTCAATTATTCATCAACCACAGTATAATAAAAGTTCATATTATTGTTGGCCAATCATGGTTTTGCAAAGAAAGCTATATTACATCGATGTTTTGGACATAAATGACAGAGATTGGGTGGAAATTTTAGTCAAAGCGGGGGGATGAACTGGCTTGTATATCATCTCCGCGTGGACGTAATGATTTTAATTTCTTTTAATCCATATATATATTATTTATATACATGCGCAAGGGTAGGGGTGCACATGGGCAGGGCTGGGCAGGGCAGAACCCCTGCCCGATGCCCAGCCCGAACATGAACCCAACGGGCTGCATTTTGCAGCCCGCTGCCCGGCCCTACCCCATAGAAGCCCTAACCATTTTGGGCTGGGCATGGGCGGGCTGGGCAGGGCGGGCTTTGCTGCCCAAATGATGATGACCTACCGATATCACATGTAAAAAAACTTTCATCCATACCTAAAAATTACATTCATAATTTTATATTTTCACACATTAAAATTATCCAAAAATAATTCAAAACAAGTCTTAGCAAATGTCCAAATAAATAATATTCATAATCTATTTAGAACAAAACAACTCTCAAGATTGTAATTAAAGTCTTGAAATTCAAACGGTTTGCATTAATCTCTAGAAAGTTGAGAAAAGAATAAAACATCTGAAAAAATTGAAGAGGGGTTGAAGCACATTGAGATATTCCATTGGGAGCCAGGGATGGCGATGTAATAGAAACTTGATTATTAATTTAAGTGGCAAAATTAAATGTTACCTAAAAGATTGTAAAAAGATATTAAACTGAAGTAATGGGCTAATAGGTAACATAGACCATATAAAAATGAGGTGAAAATAATTGTAAAAAGAAAAAGAAAATAATCTCATAATAATTTAATATAACGACTTTTAATATGTAAATACTTATTATGCGATACAATGCAGTTAGCAGTCCATACAACTAAAAGACTTCTTTCTATCATATGACTTGTTCA